TTGCTCACCAATGGATCCTCTGCGGTGAATGGGTGCCGTCAGAATGAGAGTCCAAACAGCTGATAAAAAGTCATCTCGTCTGAATCAGGAAAGAAATATGCAGAAAACATGGAGTCATGTGGATTACTTGTTAAACTTTACAATGCTTAAAAAAAAAAAAAAAAAAGTGGAAGTCCGATAAAACAAGCCATCAAAGGTAATGTCTGCATATTATCTGTTAAACTGGATCTGATACTTCCCTTAATATACATATTTCTTTGCAATAACTGTATTTCTCTTTGACTAAGCTATTGGCTTTCTAATGCTCAAAATAAGAATAAAAATAAAATAAAATGGCATCTAAGGAGAGAAAACAAAACAAAACTGCAATGCTTGAGAGTTGACTGAGCTAAAAGCAGCACTTGTTCCTCCAAAATTCCAAAAACATTTGTTTTTACTTTTCTTTCTTCCTTATGAAGAAGTCATTAGAAACGTCACAGATGTAACGCCCCGTAGCCACATATGATGAAATCTACACTTGGATATTTCCAAAAACACTCACAAACATTTCTTCCATCTCTGCACCGTGAATCTGGAACGATGTTTAAGAAGTCCACGCCTATTCAAATCTGGATATCCTTCTCAAATTAGTTCTGTAATTTAATTTTTTGTATCTCGTTTTGTTCCTATTCACATCATTATTACAGTAATATAAGTATTATTTCACATAAAACGAAACATGAACAAAAACAACACTTTATAAAGTGTTTTAAAAGAGTGAAAAACCAAAACAGGTGTACAATTAATGGAAACAATTAATAGAAAAGCAACAGCATACACATCCACATTGTGCTTTCGAATTTAAAGTCATTTGAGTGGGTCAGTGGTAACCATGGTAACGAGGGTGACGGACAGGTAGTGTTCTACTCCCTCCAGGTGGGCGGAGCTTCTGCAGAATATCCAGAGAGATGCTGAGTGCGACTAAGAGCGTCTGAAAGAGCGTCAATAAGAGACACGGCACAGAAATGTCGACTGAATCCTTAGCATGAACAGCCGCCTTCGCTGACCGGCTGCTCTGGCGGCTTTTCCAATTTTATGTCAATCACTGAAGGAAAAAGGAATTAAGGAAATATACAAAGGTTTTTGTAGTGTGTTTGTTTAAACTGCAAAATTTATACAGATGGACAATCAGGTACTAAAACAAGTGATTGCAAGTGTGAAAAGCGCAATTACATATGTAAGTTTATGCACATATGTGTGTAGGATACTGTCTTCTCTGCTCTTATCTTGTGTGCTCTCCATACCAGGAAGAGCTGCTGCTACACGCCGGAAAAGCTAGACGAGACAAACACAAGCCCCATTATTAAACTCTCACACCAGGATCAGAAAAAACAAGCAGTGTGTGGGGGTGTTTGCATTCAGAAAAGTTTAATATTTAATAATCTGGAAATCATCTTTTGAAGACACTGATCTGAGTGCAATGTTCAGTAACGCTGTTTTTGAATAATCATGCAAATATAATTTAATAAATCATTAAAGCACATATTTCTACTTTTGATTTAAGTCAAATCTCTGTCACACTCACCTGTTTGACGTTGTATCCGGCTTTAGCGCTAGTTTCAATAAACATTACATTCAGTTCTTTGGCTTTCCTCTCTCCTTCCTCAATAGAAACTTGCCTGAAATTATTACATGTAATCATTAATATTTGCCTATTTTGAGCAGATTAATAAGAGTATTAGTACTAGTTTGTGACATTTCAAAAAAAAAAAGAAAAAAAAAAAAGGTGCTTTTGTCAATAGATGCATTTCTGTTTAGTACATTTTATGTAAATATTGCATAAAATAAAATTTAATTGCAGCAATTTTGTGCACACACATCACCTTAACCAAAAGTTTGGGGTCTGTAAGTTTTTGTGTTTTTGAAAGAAGTCTGTTATTCTCAACAAGGCTGCATTTATTAAAAAAAAAAAAAAAAAAAAAAAAAAAAACAAAAAAAAAA